CGGCCCCCGCCCCCTGCCCCCCGTCCCCACCGCAGTGCGCTCAGGCTCTGCGGCCTCCCCCCCGTAGGGGAGCACTTGGGCTCTGCTGCCCCCCATGCACTGATGCTCTCTCTCCCCTGTGCCCCTCCCCAGCCTGCTGGGGAAATGGCAGTGTTTAATCTGGCAGGGATGGTCGGGGTTTCTACTCTCCCCCCTCTCCCCCCCCCGCCGCCCTGCCAGTGGGAAGTCTGACCTGGAGCTGCAGCTGTGCTGGGTTCACCGCTGCATGGATCGGGGGAGGAAACTGAGCTCTCCACCCACCTATCCTAAGGAACAAGAGCATGCTCCAGGGAGGTTTTCCTTGCTGCAGCAGGGTGCCACGCCAGGTAAGCAGCGCCCCTCATGCCCAGACCCTCACACCCAAACCCCCCTCAATCCCCTCCCTCTGCCAAGACCCCACATTCCCAGCGTGCTCCGACACCCTGCCCGAAGTCCTGTTCTGCACCCTTCCTCCTGGCCAGATACTCTGCCCCAAGTCCCCTCCTCTACCCTCCCTCCTGGCCAGACACATGACCTTATTTAGCACTTGTTTATTATTATCCTTACTTTTTTGTGGTCTAAGTTTTCAGCTCCATGTACCAGAGGGCAGTCTTCCTGGAGGGTCGTGGTAATTTTTTTTTTTAACTTGACAAATTTTCCCTGGGGGCTGATTCTTTTTTCTTTTGCTTGACAAAAAATCTTTCGTGTTCCCCATAAAAAAATTGTTTGGTGTTCCTCAGTCTTAAAAAGTCTCAGAAACACCACTGTATAGGAAGGGGACCTCTACCAGAATGGCCAGGTTTTGTGCAGCTCATGGTGGGTCATTTATCACCAGGGATAAGTAGCCACAGATTTGCCTCTCTGGATGTCTCACAAGAGGTGGGGGAGGGATGAGGGTGGCAGGAGCTGTCCCGTGTGCCATGCAGAAGCACAGCCCTGGAGGAGGGATGAGCCAGAGCTGGGTGGGGGCTGCAGACAGGGCCGGCACACAACATTTTGGTACCTGAGGGGGGGTTCAAATGATGCCCCCATGTCCCCTTGCTTGGGCCAAAACTTTGAAAGGTCTCTTGTGTCCTCCTTCATCCCTCACAGCACTCCACCATCTCTGTGCATCTAGAGCAGAGAGCAAGGCCAGCCTTAAGACGATTCAACCGAATCGGGCCCTGTGCGTAAGGGGGCCCTGCGCCCTGCACCTGGAAGTTGGCTCCCTCAGCTTTGCTCGGCTCACCCCCACCTTTACCTGCGCACGCTGCTGGCAGCTCCTGCCACGCGTGCCGTTCGCAGGTGGGCGGGAAGGGATTTTAAAACTGAAACATGACATGCCACCGCCGCCACGCACACGATTCGCAGACCTGCCCCGCAGAAGTCAGAAGGTAAGGGAGCAGGAGCAGGAGCAGGAGCAGGAGCAGGGGCAGAGGCAGGGGCAGGGGCAGCAGCTTGGATAGGGTGGGAGAGTAAGGGGCTTGTACGGAGGGGGAGGGAGAAGAAAGGGGAAGGCACCAAGAGGCAGCGTGGAGGTGAGACATGTGCCAGGGGGCCAAGTACAGACAATGAGGAAAAGGGAAGGAGGGGAGGTGTCAGTGGGAGGGGGACAGGGTGATTTGGGGAGAAGAGAGGGGAAGGACATTGGAGGCTAGAGGGGGAGGTGCTGGGAGAAGGCTTGAAAGAAGGGGTGGGCATGAGCAAGATGTGGGGATGGAGCAAGATGTGTGAGGGCCCAGAGGGGCAGGAGGGGAATGGGGGCAGAGGGTGGTGAGGGGTGGGCATCAGGGAGAAAGAGGGCAAAGGGGGCAGGAGCAGTGAGGGAAGGGGTAGCACCAGGAGGATGCAGGGCTAAGGGAAGGTGCAGGTGCCAGGGGATTCTGGGGGTGAAGCAGAAGGGCAGACATCTGCAGGGGAGGGACCAGCACCAGAGGAGAGAGGCAGGGCAGGTGTGTAGAGGGAGGTGTTAGAAGAGGCAATGAGGAGGGGTAACTCACCTGATCAGAGTGGGGCTACTAGAGGAGTGGGCACAAGGGGGAGAGAAGGGTGGTGGAGGGAGGCAGGTCGCGGGAAACAGGGACGGCATGAGGCCCCAGGATGCGGTCCAGGGCGTGGAAGTGGGGGCAGGCCTCCAGGTCAGCCCCTGGCAGGCAGGCCCGGGAGTAGGACTGCCGCAAGTCTTTAATCTTGCAGCGCACCTGCTCCCGGCTGCGCCGGGGGCCCC